GCACACCCACACACAATGCTCTCGCGCACACACATTCTCACACGCACTCACACCCACACGCGCACGCGCTCTCACATCACGCAGGGCTGGGCCGTGTCCCCAGGTTTCGCCTGCCCTGGCCCCGGGGTCCTGCCGCCCCTCGAGCCCCCCTAGGACCCCCTAGGACCCGGCGCCCCTGCGGAAGTCCTGCCCCGCGGGCCCCGGGCCTTCCTGGCCTTGTCCTGCTCTCGGCACCATCGCTGCCACCGGGCAGGACGGGCCACGGGGTGAGACTCCCGTCTGAGATGCACCTGGCGGGGCCTCGGTCTCGTCATCGGAAAAATGGGGTGATGCTCTGGGGGGGCTGCCGGGGGCGACTTCAGCACTGGGCCCGTGGGGGGGGGGCCCAAGGTGGGGCCAGGCCCTCTCTGCCCCAGGAGGAATGGGGGTGAGGCAGGAGAGGGGGGCCCAGCCCCTGGGCCTGATGGGCAGTCTCGGGGTGAGGGGGTCCCCGCCCCTTGGCCAAGCCTGGGTTTGTGCTGAAGTCCTCCTCTGGGTCTCTCTCTGCCAGCTGTCGCCACCTGCGCCCTCACACCTGCACGCACATCCACACAGACCCTGCTTGCTCCCTCTCACAAGCACACCCTCGTTCTTACACACTCAGCTACACACATCCACGCTGATCCCTCCTTGCAGCCATTCGTGCGAGCCCCTCCCCCCAGCAAGTGTGCCGTCCAGGACGCCAGGTCTCCCCTCCCCCTCCCTCCTCGCTCAGCCCCCTCCTTCCCCTCCCTCCCCTCCCCCTCTCTCCTCCCATCAGGCCTCTCCCTCCTCCCCTCCTTCTCCCCCTCCTGGCCCCCCCTGCTCCCCCCAATTTCCCCTCCCCCCGTCCTCCCCTCCCTTCCCCTCCCGGCCCCTCCCCCTCTCAGTCTGGCCCCAGTTTCTGGGTGTCCCAGTGGAAGGGAGGACCCGCCCACCACTTCCCTCCTCCCGCCCTTTCCTGGAAGTTTTGGAAACCAGGAGAAGGCCATGGAAACAGGAGGGAAGCCCAACGGGGCCGAGGGCGGGCTGGGCAGAGACTCAGGCCAGCACACAGTAGGGCCTCGGGCGTCCGGCTCTTGTCGTCCAGGCCTTTCCGGGCCGAGCTCATTTAGGGAGGCTGGGGCACCCCAGGTTCTAAGTGGGTGTCCCTGCCCTCCCCACGGCCGGCTCCTCCTGCACAGACGCCCCTCCCCTGCTCCCGAGAACCGGCACCCTTCAGCGCTCACGCGCCCCCGGCGCCCCCCCCCCCTGCTGTCTCTGTTCAGCCTCCGGGCCCATGTGTCCTGCGTGCTGGCGGCGCGGCCTCTGGGGCCTTTGCTCCCGTGCAGGAAGGGGGTGGCCTGGGTGCGGACGGCGTGTGGAAGCCCAGACCCAGGGCCCACTCCCGCTCCCACCCTGGGGCTGCTCTCCCGACATGGGGACCATGTCTGACATGCTTCGCGGATGCTTAGCCCCGGGGTTGCTGCTCCCCGTGCACTGCCCCATCTCACACCCGGAAACCAGCCCCCGGGGAGGGGCCTGCCTTGCCCCAAGTCTGGGGCAGGGAAGGGTCAGCCTCGGGACCCACGCTCGGCCTCCGCCTTCTGGGACGCCTGCACTTGCTGCCCCCACCGCCTGTCTACACTGTCGTTAACACTAGCGCCCGTCGCTAAGCGCACAGAGGTTCTGGGTTCTTGCAGAAGGCACCTCCGCTTCTGAGCACGAGGTGTGTTCTCTCCACTTCACCCCGGGCAGGCTGGGGTCTGAGAGGTGGGGTCAGGGTCCGGGCCAGCCTGGCCGGCGCCTCCCAGCCCCCGCACTGTGCCTGGCCTTTCGTCCTCAGGGCCTGTGCTGTGCTGCTCTCTGTGCGGGGCTCTGTTCGCCTTGCTATGTGCCTCACCACCTCCCGGGCTTCCCTTATCTCGGCCGAAACGTCACTTTGGAAAGCCCTTCCCCACCCCCGCTCCCGTAGCCGCCTCGCAGAGTTCAGTGACCTGTCAGGAAGCCAGGAGGCCCGGTGGGTGAAGCCACTTTCCAGTTTTCTGCATGTCCCGCAGCCTCCCTGCGAGCAGGAAGGAGGCGTCCGTTGTCACAGGGCCCAGCGCAGCATCTGGCACCCAGTAGGCCCTCAGGGAATAAATAGGACTGATCGGAAACGGTGCTGAGGGTTAGAGACCAAGGATCTCCAGCCCTAGCAGGGCCGAAGGCTGTCTCCAGACTCCATCACGTGGAGGGGACTGTCTGGCTCAGGCCAAATGGCCAGGGCTGGGCTGGAGTCTCTGGGAAGGACAGACCAGGTCACAGCATGTGGCACCGAGCAGGGCAGCAAGGGCCAGCAGAGCGTGAGCCCCAGGCCCAGGGGGTTGGGGGCGGGAGGGGCCCCAGGAGTCTTAGGGGCCAGAGGCTGGGGCCCAAACACACGGAACATTTGGGGTGGCATCCAGGGTCAATATTGTCTGCAGATTGTCCCCCTCCCAGGCAGCTGTGGCCCAGGGGGCTTGGGGGCCAGCCAAGGGCTTGGGCTCTGGCCAACCTAGTCCAAGGGTCCGTTCTCAGACCATGTGCCTGCGTCCCAGTGATCACCGTCCCACCGTGCCTCTCTGATGAAGTATGTACAGGCTCCGGAACATACCGCACCGTCGCTCACTCTCCATCCAACTCCAGCTCGATTACTTCATGTGAGGCTTCATGTGTCCAATGCTTACTTTTAAAAATAGAGCAAATCAGGGGCGCCTGGGTGATTCAGTCGGTTAAGCGTCTGACTTCGGCTCAGGTCATGATCTCACGGTTCGTGGGTTCGAGCCCCGCGTCGGGGTCTGTGCTGACAGCTTAGAGCCTGGAGCTTGTCTTTGGATTCCGTGTTTCCCTCTCTCTCTGACCCTCCCCTGCTCGTGCTCTCTCTCTCTCTCTCTCTCTCTCTCTCTTAGAAATAAACAAAACATTAAAAAAATATTTTTAAAAAAAATAGAGCGAATCACAAACACTTAATACATAATGATATTTAGCATCTAGTAATGAGGGTCCAAAATAAGTAAATGATGTTGCGATGATTTTGAGCCATCACTTTCTTATGTTCTTACAGAACCAAGCAGGGAACTACTGCCCAGGAGGCCCCCACCCCCAACTCCTGCTCCCAGTCAGGTCGTTCTCCCCAGGATCCAGGGCGGTGGGGGCCACCTTCTGGCCCCAAAAGTCATTCCTCTTTGCTGAGCCTTCCCCAGCCCGGGACCTGGCGACCTGGGGACGTTGCGGGGCGAGGGACCCTTCCACGGCAGGCCCAGGGGCCAGCAAACACAAGGCCAGTCCTGGACAGGCTGGCTCCTCACCCCGGGGGGCTCCCCAGGGGTGCCGACTGACAAGCAGCAGGCCAGGAGCTGAAGGGAGGAGGTGCCTTGGCTCTGGTGGTCACACGGGAAAATGCAACACTGCACACAGGTCAGCCTGTTCTGATTCAGACACGTGGGTCACACAGGTGTCACCGTCACATGGTGGTAGCCAGCCCCAAGGTGACCTCCAGGGACCTCGCATCCTGGAGTGTCCCCCATTAGGGGCAGACTGACCTGCGCGCCCCACAGGAAGTGGCTGAAATGCGAGTGTGGCTTCTGGTGTGAAGTCTTAGTCGGCACGCGGCTTCCGTCCCTCTCCCCAGACCACTGCCGTGGGGACGCCAGCCACCATGCTCTGAGGACGATCGAGCGTGTCCGTAGAGAGCCCCACGTGGTGAGGACAGCCTGGCAGAGGATCCTACGGCCCCATCAAGGCTTCAGATGACGCAGCCCGAGCTGACACCAGGGCAGCCAGCAGGGTCCCTCCCAGACCCCAGACCCTCAGACACAGGAGAGAAGTGGATGCTGTCAAGGAATTTGTTACACGGCAATAGCCGGCTAACACACACATGTATCCGATCACAGTGTTTCCCTTCAGGGCCCACTGTTCTGAGAAAGCCCTTCCTGAACAGCCCACCCCTCGCAGATGCCGCAAGGGCAGCTGGTCAGTATGGCGGCTCTGGGCCCAGGAACAAAGAGGGACTGGTGCAGGGACGGCGGCTCTCAGGGAGCAGAGCCAGAGGAGGAACCAAGGCCCAGGTCTCAAGCTGACCACAGTCACAGGCCCAAGGAGCCTGTGAAGCGACCCCAGGATGGTCTGCCCCGGGCGGTATCCAACCTTTGGCTTCTCTCGTGCCCTGAGTGTCTGCACCAGCACACTGGGCTGGGGCCTGCACCCAGGGGCCTCCCACCCTGGGAGAAGCCTTGCGGAGGGTGCAGGTGTGTGAACCCCGGGCCCAGCAGATGACACCTCTGAGTGGGCGCCTGCACGGAGCCGGTCACCCCCGTGTGGCCAGGGTCGGGTGAGGCAGAGATGTGCACTGGCCTCAGGACTGGTTCGATCCAGTGGCCCGCGGGTCCCGGCCCCCACCCTGCTACGGAACAGGTTTCGGCAAGTGCCCTTAAGATATGCAGGTCTGGTCATTGTCCTCACAGGAGTTGGATGGATGTGCATTCTGCCTTTACACGACTCTTTGCTGAAAGAATATACTAACGTATTTTTTATGGTAAAGAGAACCTGGGGGGGAAATTGCCCAGCAAATCCTCTCATGGTTCAGGTTAATTAAGTGATTTCAAATGCCTTCTGCGGGGTAGGCCCCTAAGTTACACCTCGTGAACCAACTCTAAGCTCTCGGCAATGGTGGCCTGAGGGTTGGGTTAAGAAGGCTTCTGAGGCTGCACATGGGCTCAGTGGGCAAAACGTCCATCATAAATGACAGCCACGGACAGGACGTGGCCCCACAGCCATTAATACACAGTGGTCAGCTGGATAAAGGTCCCCAAGGTTATCCCAATCCCTGAATGCTGTGAATGTCACCTTCTTTGCAAAAGAAACTTGCCCGTGTGATTAAACTAAGGCTCTGGAAACGGGGCCATGGATTGACCGGATGGGACCTGAACGCAGTCCCAAGTGTCCCTCACGTGAGCTCTGGCACAACAGAGGCGCGGGGCTACCTGCGGCGTTGAACTTGTAGGCCGGGCTCTGAGGCCCTGGGGGCAGCTCCTGAAGCTGGAAAGGCAGGGAACAGACTCTGCCCAGAGTCACTGGTCCACACACCTTGAGAACACCTGGATTTTGCTCAGCAGATTTGAGTTCAGACTTCTGGCCTCTGGAACCGTGAGAGGAAGGCCGCGGGCGGTTAGGCCCCTAAGTGTGCACTAATGTGTTGCAACGGCCCCGGGGAAGGGACACACACACACTGTCCTCGCTTCTCTGGCCTTGGCCATCTCTGGCCTTCTCTCTTGTCTCCCTTCCCCCCGGGAAGGACCTGCTCACTGTATCTCCAATTATGGAGCGTTCCCTGGGCTACACCCGCCCGGGCCCCCGTCACCCCGAACAGCCGCCCCAGGGGCGCTGGGCCCCCAGAACGGTCTTCAGCGCATGGAGTCTGAGCTCACCCACCGCTGCAGCATCCAGAGAGGGGCCTGAGTGTCCAGACTCCGTGCACTGTGAGGACATCGCGCTGGGGCAGTGATGGTGCCATTGAGCGAGGAGACTCAGAGAGCAGTGGCACCGTCCAGAGGCCAGCGGAGGAGTCCCTACGGAGCTCCTGGGAGGATGGTGAGGCAGTGGGGCGGCCAGAGGGCACACTAGCACCTCGCACTCCTATGAGGACCAGCCACGGCCCATTTGAAGGGCGAGGCCACTCAGCACCGGAAGGGCGAGTGACTTCCTCGAGGCCACATGGCAGAATCTGCCTTGCCCGTGGCCCGTGTGTCCCTTCCCAGTGACCTCTGGGTAAGTGGCCTGTCATCCTGTGGCTGCTCGCTCTTGGCACAGATGGGGGTCCTGCCGCGGCGCCAGCGTGCCCCTGCCCGGCCCCGCGCCAGCACGTGTGTGACCCAGCCAGAAATGCTCCGTTACGATGCTGCATCCCTGTCCTAATCGGCTCACAGCAGGCCGTGGCCTGGGCCCCGCTGGGGGGCCCCCTGTCCCACCCCATGCCTCCTGAAAGGTGACCTTGGTGGGATCACCCTGTACTGGGGGGCCGTGTCTACCCATCTATGGCCTAGACTACAAAGTGTCATTATTTATTCTTTGCTTCTACCTGCCTGCCTTCCCTGCAGACTTTTTTTTACCTTGAAAGGAAAATTGATTCAGGGTCTGCCAACCGCCCAACTGACTTCCTGCGTTAACTGGATGAGAAAGGGGCCTGCAGCCAGTGCTGACTGACCCCGGCTCCTGACACTCACCTCTGCACGGCTCCTCTTGTCCCCTGGGGGCTCCTGCTCGTGCACAGCACCCCAGCGCTCCCCTGAAGCCCTAGGTACCCTGGCGAACACAGAACCCCATCTTGTCACCAGCCTCCCAAGTCCTGCCTGCGGCTGGGGTCCTCAAGCCGGTCTGGGGGGGACAAGCAAGGAAGAGGTGCATTAGACGTGGGGGTGGAGGTGCCTGGTGGACATTCGGACCCCTGGGAGAGCCTTGAGCCCTGAAACAGAGCTGACAGCGGCCCCTGGGGGGCTCTGCCGGCAGCAGTGCGACCATCGGCGACAGAGTGGGCAGAATAGGTGGGGCAGGTTGTGACGTGAGCAGCTGGTGGCCCAGGACCACCAGCATGAGGTGGGCATGGGGGGCGGGTCACAAGAGGGGACCCAAAGGGGCCCAGTGCAAAGGGGTCTTTGCCAGTCTCCTGTCTGAGCTCCGTGTGCTGGGGTCACAGAAATAGATGGGAGGGGCTGTCCCTGCCCCGAGAGAGTTCACAGTCAAGTGCAGCCACAGAGCACAGAAGTACCTGTAGCTGCAGGCATGCAGGGCTGAGCTGAGACAGGGGTGAGGTTGGGGTCAGGGGCCCGACGAGAGACCACCTTATGTGGGGAGCAGTTGGCCTGCAAATTGCCAGGACAGGAGAGGAGGCAATGGCTTATCTTCAGACAGGAAAGGTAGCTGCCTGTCCCCAGGGGCGCGAGGCTGGGAGGCGGGGCCTGGGGTGAGGCCCAGGGGAGGGCCGGGGCCCTGCATGCTTTCCTGTCCCCACTGAGGCCCACGCAGCCTGAGCTGAGAGTCCTCCTGGGAAACCTGATCACCTGGGTTCAGATCTTGGCTCCACCTCTGGCTACCTGGTCAAATTGCCTCAGTTTCTCCATCAGTACAGAGGGGTTAGTAATAGCGCCTCCGGGGCCAGCTGAGTCCACCTGCTGGGGCACCTGGGCGCCCAGTCAGTTAAGCCTCCAGCTCTTGGTCTCGGCTCAGGTCACGACCTCATGGTTCACGGGTTCGAGCCCCACATCTGGCTCTGTGGGGCCAAGCGCAGAGCCTGCTTGGGATTCCCTCTCCCCTCTGCCCCTTCTGCACTCCCGTGTGCACTCTCTCTCACAAAATAAATAAATAAACATTAAAAAAAGAAAATTGGGCCCAGCGGATCTGCCCATTTGCCTCTCAACCTGAGGCTGGGAGCATTGCTTGAGCCATCCTTGGGAAAATGGGATTCCTCGGAAAGGAAGAAGGAAGCTTCTGGAAAAAGAAGGCAGCTCAGCAGGACCAGAAGGCCGTCATTGAGATTGTGTGCTTTGCAAAGTCAGTGCTGTGTCTGGAGGATTCTGGGGCTGCTCTGTCCCCCCGACCTGGGTTTGAATCCCCATTCTGCAGCTCGCTGTTCTGTGACCCCGGGCAAGTGTCCTCAGCACTCGTGCCTGTGAAATGGGAGTCACTCACTCAGCTCCATGGTGGGAGTTGGGCCGCGGCAGTGAGCAGGGCAGCCCAGCCCCTGTGTTCTGGACGCTCAGTTTTCCCCCAGGCCCCCACCCCCCACCCCCCACCTCGCAACGGACATTCTATCTCCATTCTCAGACGGGAAAACAGGTTTCAGAGGCCATAAATATTTTGCCAGGGCCACCCAGGTGATAAGTTACTTCAAGTCATCTGTTGCTGCAGAACAAACCACCCGAGACTCAGTGGGGTTTCCTAATCGTGTTATTTCAGTAGGACTCAGTGAGGAAGGCTGTCCCGTGCTCCAAGACGCCAGCCAGGGCGGCACACTCCCCGCCACCAAGCTGGTGCCGGCTCTGCCCGTGGTCCGTTGTGCGGACTTCCCTACGGTAGGGAAGCCTGGAGCAAGTGCTCCAAGAGACAAGAACCTGGCTCTCTCCAAAAGCCAGAGCCGGCAATAAGGACCACATCCCTTCCACCATATTCTATTGGTCAAGCAGTTGTGGGACCTGCTTCTCCAAGAAAGGAGTGTTCACCTACTGTGGTGACTGCCAGGATGTGAACCTACATCTTTCTGATGCCTTCAAGCCCTCTGGCACAGAGCACTGGGGAGACAAGTGTGCTCAGGCTGGTAGAGTTGTGCCCAGGACTGACCTGCCCAGCCGGCTGGGCCATCTCACAACATTCACCCAAGCTAGAAGGAGTGAGACTCTGAAAGCAGGCATCTCCAAGCACAGCCTGGGGCAGGGGTCTGCTGTCCCCGGAGGTGTGGTGTGATGCCACCCCTTCCACTTCTCCGAGTTCCATCCACGTGGCTCCCAGGGACCGGCCACACTTGTGCACGACCCTGTCGCCGGCCACAGCAGAACTGTGGGATGGGCATCTGTCCCATGTTGGGCTGCTGGTTTCTTTCCATGAGACTTCAGCCCTGCATCGGGAGTTGAAGGGGCCACGTTTATTGCCACGTAGAGAATAGGTGCAGGAGAGAGAAGGGGGCTGAGAGAAGCAGGCAAGACAGACCGACAGTCCTGATGGACCTCTGTGCCCTGACTTCAGTTTCAGGAGCAACCACGGGCTGGCCCTGGAGGGGGGACTCCTAGAGCCTCTTGCTAAATTACCCTTTGCAGTTTCTTGTCTCTGGTCACCAAGAGGGGCCTGATGGAGGCACCCAAACATGCCATGGTGTCCTGGAGATGACACTGGCCTCTTCCCTGGCTTTCCCCTGGCCTCCCAGCCCTCCACCAGCCCACGGCCACCACCACCAGGGAGCCTCCACCATAGACCCGACCTCATCAATGCCCTGCACTCAGCTCCGTGGCAGTCCTTCTGTGCCCTGCTTCTCGTGAAGCTCCTCTGAACAGTTTGCCCCTCTGCCTGTTCTCTCCTGCCTCTGGGCCTCCGTTCATGCACTTCCCTCTATGGAAACTCCTTTCCTCTTTTTCTCCTCTGTTGATTTGTCTTTGTCTGTCATCCCCACCTAATGAGGAAACCGAGGCAGCTTCCACCAGGCAAAAGGCAGAATGTGGGCATGACTGCATCGCCTCGGATCTCATCCCAGCTTTGCCCTTCGCTGTGTGACCTCAGGCAAGCTCCTGAACCCCTCTGGGTCTGGGCTTCCTCATGGCTAGCACACATTGCAGGAAATGATCGCCTGAGTTCAATGTGTCTGGGCGCAGGCAGCTCCGCAAAGCCTGGTGTCTTATCACCATCAGAGCCCTGTGCCCCCCACCCCTCCACCGTGGCTCAGCGAGACACCCCTGGAGGTAGAAACGGGCCTCACCTAGCTCTGTCCCCAGGACCTGATCCTGAGGCCCGCTCAGTGCCCAGTATCCCAGCCCAGCTTGCCCACTGTATCCTGGAGCTCTGCTGGGGGACCCGTCTGCCGAGGGACCCATCTGCTGGGGACCCGTTTGCTGGAGGACCATCTGCTGGGGACCCATCTGCTGGGGGACCCGTCTTCTGGGAGACCTGTCTGCTGTAGGACCCATCTGCTGGGGGATATGTCTGCTGGAGGACCCATCTGCTGGGGGACATGTCCGCTGGGGGACATGTCTAACGGGGGACCATCTGCTGGGGGGCCCATCTGCTGGGGGACATGCCTGCTGGGGGACCCGTCTGCTGGGGGACATGTCTGCTGGGGGACCCGTCTGCTGGGGGACCCGTCTGCTGGGGGACATGTCCGCTGGAGGACCCATCTGCTGGGGGACATGTCCGCTGGGGGACATGTCTGATGGGGGACCCGTCTGCTGGGGGACCATCTGCTGGGGGACCTGCCTGCTGGGGGACATGTCTGCTGGGGTACCCGTCTGCTGGAGGACATGTCTGCTGGAGGACCCATCTGCTGGGGGACATGTCTGCTGGGGGACCCATCTGCTGGGGGACATGTCTGCTGGGGGACCCATCTGCTGGGGGACATGTCTGCTGGGGGACCCATCTGCTGGGGGACATGTCTGCTGGGGGACCCATCTGCTGGGGGACATGTCTGCTGGGGGACCCATCTGCTGGGGGACATGTCTGCTGGGGGACCCATCTGCTGGGGGACATGTCTGCTGGGGGACCCATCTGCTGGGGGACATGTCTGCTGGGGGACCCATCTGCTGGGGGACATGTCTGCTGGGGGACCCATCTGCTGGGGGACATGTCTGCTGGGGGACCCATCTGCTGGGGGACATGTCTGCTGGGGGACCCATCTGCTGGGGGACATGTCTGCTGGGGGACCCATCTGCTGGGGGACATGTCTGCTGGGGGACCCATCTGCTGGGGGACATGTCTGCTGGGGGACCCATCTGCTGGGGGACATGTCTGCTGGGGGACCCATCTGCTGGGGGACATGTCTGCTGGGGGACCCATCTGCTGGGGGACATGTCTGCTGGGGGACCCATCTGCTGGGGGACATGTCTGCTGGGGGACCCATCTGCTGGGGGACATGTCTGCTGGGGGACCCATCTGCTGGGGGACATGTCTGCTGGGGGACCCATCTGCTGGGGGACATGTCTGCTGGGGGACCCATCTGCTGGGGGACATGTCTGCTGGGGGACCCATCTGCTGGGGGACATGTCTGCTGGGGGACCCATCTGCTGGGGGACATGTCTGCTGGGGGACCCATCTGCTGGGGGACATGTCTGCTGGGGGACCCATCTGCTGGGGGACATGTCTGCTGGGGGACCCATCTGCTGGGGGACATGTCTGCTGGGGGACCCATCTGCTGGGGGACATGTCTGCTGGGGGACCCATCTGCTGGGGGACATGTCTGCTGGGGGACCCATCTGCTGGGGGACATGTCTGCTGGGGGACCCATCTGCTGGGGGACATGTCTGCTGGGGGACCCATCTGCTGGGGGACATGTCTGCTGGGGGACCCATCTGCTGGGGGACATGTCTGCTGGGGGACCGTCTGCTGGGGGACATGTCTGCTGGGGACCCATCTGCTGGGGGACATGTCTGCTGGGGGACCCATCTGCTGGGGGACATGTCTGCTGGGGGACCCGTCTGCTGGGGGACCCATCTGCTGGAGGACATGTCTGCTGGGGGACCCATCTGCTGGGGAACATGTCTGCTGGGGGACCCGTCTGCTGGGGGACCATCTGCTGGGGGACATGTCGGCAGGGAGACCCGTTGGCAGGGGACCCGTCTGCTGAGGGACCCATTGGCTGGGGGACATGTCTGCTGGGGGACATGTCAGCACTGCCCCCCTCCAGCCTCCACCCACCCAGCGTGGTAGCCAGAGCGCAGGGTCTCCAGTCACTCTGGAGACCCCTGCTGGCCAGTGCTGGTTACTGCAGGAGGCAGAGTTGCTCACAGCCCCCCAAGTGCCCACCTGAGGCCTGCGGGCACTGTTACCCCCACCCCCACTTCACTGGTAAAGACCCAGGGCCCCAGCTCTTCCAGGTCACCCAGCTGGAAAGCAGCAGAGCCGGGGTTTGGAACCAGGACCGTCTCCCTGGCCCGGGTGCTTCTAACACAGAGCGGTCCTCTCTTCACTCACCGGGGAGGCTCTATGGCCTCTGACTCCCTCCCGCCAAACGCTCCCACCCCCGAGGCTCCATCCACACTTGGGAAACGCCCTCGAGTCACAGCCTTGCCAGGGCATAAACTCAAACTGAGCCTGGCCCAGGGCTGCTAGGAGCTCTTGGGAGGAGAGGGGCGCCGCCGGAGACAAATGGGGTGCTGTCCTGGCGCCACGTTCTGGTGCACAAGTCAGGGCAAAAGTCCCTTCATAAGCACTTGTTGAAAGAATACACGACTGAATAAATGTACTCAGTGACTGGTCTGAAGCTGTCACATCCTAGGCCAACTGGTCAAATATTACTCATCCATCAAACCCTGTTCAGGGTCACCTCTTCCAGGAAGGAAGCATCTCCCCTTCCACATTTTCTTTAGGGCAGAACACAGTACTTGTTAAGATGGGTAAAAGCGCTATGAGAGTTCGGGGGTGGGGGCCCATACTTGCAAAAGCCACAGGGGAGGAAAGGGGGGTATGGCCCTCACGGAAGGCTTCCTGGAGGAAAAGGAGGCCTTTGAGGCTAACCTGGAAAGGAGGGAGAGTATTGGGCCAGGGGACATGTTGAAGGGAAGGGGTGCTAAGGAGGGACGGGGTAAGTGTATTAGTCACCGCAGGCTGTGTAACAAAGAACCACAAACCCGGCGGCTAAAACACCAGGAACGCGTCGTGCTACCCCCTCTGGAGGCCAGAAATCCGAAATCAGGTGTGGGCGGCCCTCGCTCTCGTGGAAGGCTCTGGGAGGGGGTGCTTCCTGCCTCTTCCCAGCCTCTGGTGGTTTCCGGCAGTCGCTGGTGCCCCTTGGCATGGAGACCCTCCAAACTCTGCCCCCACCTTCACATATTCTTCTCCTGTGTGTCTCTGCCCAGACCCCGCCCTCGTAAGCACCGCCGTCATTCGGTTAGGACGCACCCCATTCCAGTCCGACCTCGTCTGAACTTGCTTCCATCTGCAAAGATCTTAGATCCAAATAAGCTAACGTTCATGGGTGCCGGGGATTAGGGCTTGAACATACCTTTTTGGGGGACACAATTCAAGCCACAACAATAAGTCAAGTTGACTCGTTCACATTCGGGAAGTGGGGAGGGGCCTCTGTTTGGGGGGAGCCTGAAGAGAGGAAGCAGGTGAGTGAAGATGCTGGCGATGTAAGTGGGGTGATGCAGAGCGGTGTGCGCGCCCTGGGGTCAGGGCCAGGGCAGGGGGACAGGCCGGGAGGCGGGAGAGACCTTGTGGGATCAGAGCAGCCCCAGGGTTGGGCTCGGGCTCAGGCACAGGCTTCTTGCTCAGCAGTCACTTGCGTCATCTCATGTGACCCTCGGGGCAGCCCCTCCCCCGGGGGGGGTGTTGTCATCGGCTCCGGGTCACAGTCGGGAAACAGTCATGAAGGCAATGCCATCGGCTCAGCGTGCCCAGGTGCGGAGCTGAGGTTAGAACCAGTCTTCACACGAAGCCCATGTGGCCCGTATGGCTGCGCCAGCCAATTGCTGCAGAAGCCAACATTGTGTGTGTGATTTGTGCGCCCGTGCACAGTCACAGCCTGGCTTCCAGAGACAACGGCTGGGAATGGTGGTCTCTTCAGTTTCCGTCTCGTGATTTTGCTTCTACTCTTCCAAGGTGTCACATGCGGGCAGATTATTTTTAAACTTTCTGCTTTGGGGTTTTGTCTCTTTGGCTGAATTTTGAAGGGGATTCGTCAACCTTGGCAGTAGCTCTGGCGCCTGGTGGGGAGGGGGCCGGCCGGGCTGGGCCGCCGACACACACCCACTCACCGGAAACTCCCGAGCCCAGTAAGGTAGGAGATGCCGCCCCGGAGACTCTGGTACCAAGTGTCAGGGGTGGGATATGCACGTGCTGTGCCCTCCTGCGCCCGCAGCTACTCAGGCTTTAGGAGAGTGTGCGTGCACCCCCTTTCAGCTCAGTCTAGGGGGCTTTCCATCCCGAGGGTGGACACCCGAAGCTCTTATTTGAAGGACTGAGTCTGTTTCGTCTGCACATGTGGAGAGTCAGAAGTGGCTGGGCAGTCACCTCTCCCTAGAGCGATCCTCAGCCACCGAGGTGGGGAGAACGCTGCTCTCTGGCCTCCCTTCCCTCCTGGGCCGGCCGGAACGTGACTGACCTGCCAGAGCCCCCTGCTGGGTCAGCACCCACCCCCTGCTCGCGGGCACCCTCGTCTAGGGAGCGCCAGTGGGGGCTCAAACAGAACAGCAACTCGGCACCTTCACTCCAAGGGGTGGGTTCGTAAAGAACATGCTCGCTTCTGTTTTGTTTGTAAATGTTTTATTTTTGAGATTGGGGGGCGGGGTGCAGGGTTGGGAGGATGTGAACAGGCTCCACGCTGTCAGCACAGAGCCCGACACGGGCTTGAACTCCTGAACCCTGAGATCATGACCTGAGCTGGAGTCTGAGGCTTAACCACCTGAGTCACCCAGAGGTCCTGACCGTGCTCGTGTCTTTTTTTTTTTACATAATTTTTTAAACATTTATTCATTTTTGAAAGACAGAGACAGAGCGCAAGCAGGGGTGAGACAGAGAGAGAGGGAGACACAGAATCTGAAGCAGGATCAGGCTCAGAGCTGTCAGCTCAGAGCTTGAACTCAAGAGCTGTAAGATCACCACCTGAGCCGGCTTAACTGCTTAACTGAGCCACCCAAGCACCCCATGTCGTTTTTTTTTATGTTGGTTTATTAGTTTGAGAGAGACAGACACAGTGTGAGTGGGGAAGGAGCAGAGAGGGTGACAGAGAGAACCCCAAGCAGGCCCCACACTCTCAACACAGAGCCCGCTACGGGACTCGAACTCACATGACCTGAGCCGAAACCAAGAGTCTGACGCTTAACCAGCTGAGACCCCCAGGCACCCCCCTGCTCACTTCTTATGACGGCACAACATTTGTTATTTTCGTATATTTACCTGACACCATGTACGTATTCCATGGAGAGCCTTGTACGTATGTCAACTCGCCATGTCGAATGCACGTGTGTGGATGTGCTTAGAGTAAATTCCTAGACGTCGAGGGGTGGGGTGGAAGGGGCGTGCGTTGGGGACTGTGGGCGGTGTGCTCCCCGCCCCCGGTGGAGGCCGGCCTGGCCTAAAGCCCCAGAGAAAGGGCAAATGGACAGAGGAGGTTTTGTTCCCGGGGAGAGGAGGCCTGGCCCCCTGTGATCCGGCTCCCACTAGGGGGCGCACACACCACGCTGTAGGAAGGGCAGGGAGGGCTCCGGGTTCCGGATTTGGGGAAGGTGCCGCCTGAAGCCTGGATTGTCAGAGCAGGCGGATGCACCTAGTTTTCACATGGGGAAACTGATGCACGGGGAGGAGAAGAGCTGTGCCCGCCCACCAGCGCCTGGAAGCTCTGTAGTGCCAAACACCCTCTGAGCTGCTGCCCCTCCCGAAGTGCCCCCTGCACGGCCCTGACCTCCACCTCCTCAGTGCCCTGTCCCAGGACGTGCTGAAGGTGGACAGTGCTGCTGAGTGAACAAATGAGCGTGCGAAGGGATAACCACAGACGCCATGTTCTGGACGGGTGATGGTCAAGAATGGGATCACCCGCCACCACCCCAGGGGTGCTTGGACTCAGGGGCAGGGCCGCCCAGAGGCACCCGGTCCCGTCCCTTTCAATTCCCCACCGACTTGTCCTGGTGTTTTTAATTTGCTAGTTAATGTTGTTGTAATTGGCAAAAAATTAAAAATTGAAATTTTACACCATTGATTTGTTGACTAAGCACTGATAAAATTAATAATCCAATAAGATAAAATTTTGGATTTTGTCTTGCATCTTTACATCGCAGAATGGCGGTTTTAAATGCAAGTACTTGGCTTCGATGCGACTCACCCAAACCATACACTTCATCTTCCAGGGGTCGAACATGCAAATGCATTTTGTTCTGGCAGCAGAGGGGAGCGCTGCACAAACAGGCTGCGGTTTGTGCGTCCCCCGGGCGGGCACCCGTCCCCAGCGCCCACGGAAGTGGGCATGCTTCCCTTGCGCTCCCTGGGGTCCCCCCGAGCCCCCACGCACAGTGGGTCCACGCGCTCAGGCCGCACCCAGGACACCGCAGACACGAAGGCCAGGCCATGAGGAGCGGACGGTCAGAAGGGAGGTGAACGCGGAGAGGAGCCCAGGCCTCCAAGGTTGCTCCTCGCACGTGTCTCTTCCTCCCAAACAGCAACCACTACGTGACGTGAGCTCCTTCCTGGAGCTTTGGCTTTGCTGGGACCAGCTCGGCCCGCGGGAGGGGATGCAGAAGGGCGGGCCGCAGGGGCGGGGCGCGGGCAGAGCTGCGGTCATCCAGGAGGACGGGCTGGGGATCCAGGGTCCCCTGGGCACAGCCACCCATGGGAAGAGCCAGTCGTCTGAAGGGCCCGTTACAGAGGGCTGCGGTGCCCACTGCTAGGGGGCAGAGCGGAGACCCAGCCCTCCTGGGCGAGGACCCTCCCCACGCCCACCCCCGCCCCTCTCCTTGGGCAGGAGGAAGGGTTCACTGCGGGAACCCAGTGCCCGAGCCGCAGCTCCTGACCTTGCAGAAAGGAACAAGTATCAGCAAAGTTCTGCTTAAGCCTGAGCAGCAGGGCAGGAAAAGGGAAGGAAATGAGGCTGCTCTGAGCACCGGGGGAGGGGGGCCAAACCCGGGAGATGGCAACAGTCCCTTCTCACCACGGACAGAGGTCTCTGCCATCAGCCCATTTCACGGTGGGAAGACCGAGGCCCCCTGTGCAGGGAGCTGCTCGGGAGCCCTCTGTCCCTCGCGCCCCACAGCCCTGTCTTCGGCCACAAGCGAGGGAAGGACTGGCCCTCCGGCTCTCCCGGCGCGGTTCTTTCCAGGCCGATCCACAGCTGGGCCGCGTGCAGATGTCACGCTGGTCCTTGGGACCCTAGGGGACTCACAGAGCTGCTCTTGCCCAAAAGCCCCTTCACATCCCTGTGGCCACACCAGATGTGCAATGACAAAGTTTTGAAACCACTGTGAGTTCTTTTTCTCACATTAAAAATTCTATGTAACTATCGCATAAAAAGTTTTTTTAAATAGGCACGAAAGAAAGCAGAACGGCCGGGAACCCGACTGCCCCCAGCAGCACAAATGCTGGGGTCCGTGTTGCTCACCTAGCATAATCCTTCTGAGCGGCCACTCTGTGCCCGGGGTGGGGGTGGGGGTGCGGGGGCGAAGCGAACAGAGTGCTTACTGGGGGCTGACTCAGTACCAAAACACCTCTCATCTACTCACATGCCCCGACAGCATGTCACGGTGCAGCTGTCTACACCAGGGTATCTCCAAATGGCAGGCTTCCGGCACCTTTCCACGTGTGCCGTTTACATGGCGGGGAGGGCACGCGGTCGCAGAGTCCCCACCAGGCCCACCCAGGTGCGAGCCCGTATGGCGGGAGCTGCAGCCCAGCCGCCGGGGTGAGTCCGTGGTGTGCGGTGAGGGGCCCCGGCTCGGCCCCTGGGGTCCTCCAGCTTGTTCGGGGGCCCAAGCGCCGCATCCTCCCACGGGGCCGGCTGCCCTGCGGGTGGGGGCGGGGAGGGCTGGCCCTGCAGGCCCGGGATCCCCTGGGAAGGAGGCAGCGTGTGCTCTCGGCGAGGGGCTGGCCCTAAGCCCACGGCTCCTGTCCGGGGAGGCGTTCTGGTCCTTCGCCGAGACGTGGGAGCAGACGGGGCACGGAGCTTGGCTCCTGCCTGCGGGACAGCCACTCCTCTGGGCTCAGGGGGCTCCGCCTGCCATGTCGCCCGGGGGAATGAATGTATGAATGAGGAATGAATGGGCCCATCGGCCTGGGCTGCGGCAGAAAGGAGAGTGGCTTGCAGGTCCATGCGGCGGGGGGCAAGCCACCCCAGGTCTGGTGTCAGGGGACACCCCAGGTCTGGTGTCAGGGGACACCGGTGCGGGGAGCCTGTCCTCCGGGACCCTGGTCCCATAACTCTGCTTCAGCTGGTCTCGGAATCCGCGCCCGTCATGTGGGCACGATGAGATTTCCCAGTTCGGGAGGGCTGGGGACATGCCCCAAAGGCCCTGGCGCGGCGGCCGGTGCCCCATCCAGGCTCTCTGCCGTTGGCCTCGTCCTCGCCGCCTCCCTCGCCGCCAGGGCCAGACTCCCCGGCCCTGCTGCCTCAGCTGGCGCCAGCTGCTGAGGCCGCATCGGCAGCCCCGAGCCGGGGGTGAAGACAGGAGACAGTGGCCTCCCGGGCCGGGAAAGGCACAGCCCGGTCAGGTGGGGGCTTCCACAGGAGGGCCGGTGACAGCCACAAGACCCGCACCAACCTCCCCACCAGGCCCAGACACGTGCGTGTACAGTACATAGCGACACACACCCGCACCCTCGGATGCAAGTACACACACGCAGGTATGCACACACAGACACACGTGGGCCAGCATGTGTATGCACACGCAATACACAATGACACACCCACACCCTTAGATACAAATATGCACGCGCAGGTATGCACACACAGACACACTCGGGCTGACACACGTATGCACACATGCACACACAGTGACACACACGTGCACCCTTAGATACAAGTACACACGAGCATGCACACAGACACACTCGGGCCGACACACGTGTGTGCACGCACGTACACACGGCGATACACTTACCTGTACACAGAGGTAGGGACGTGCACATGCACAGCACACACACACACACACTGCTCTGCACTTACCGTCCCCAACATACTATTTATTTTCCGTGTTTGCCATGGACTTGGGGCCCAGGAGGCCCCACTTAGCCAGCTCCGGCTGCCGTAGATGGAGGGGGGCCGTGGGGGGACTTACACCAGACATTTATCCTCAGTCGGGAGGCGGGGAGTCGGAGGGCCCGGAGCCCGCAGGGAGGGGTTCAGGCCGAGGGCCCTCCTCCTGGTGCACAGGCTCTTCTCTGGGCTCCACCCTCGTGACCCGATGACCCCTCCGGGGGTGCGGCGGCACCACAGTCTGGGGTGACACAGTGTGCAGCCCCGGACGGCCACGTGCCGGCTGAGAGACCCTGGGAACTACCATGCTTCCCTGGGCCTCAGACGCTCATCTGCAGACAGTAAGATGCCTACATCAGAGTGCCATGCCCGTCACCTGACTGGTAATACACAGAGCGCCTAGAATAGCACCTGTCACTGCACGGCTAACGCCTCATGTGCCCGGCTCCCCCCAGAACCTCAGCCCTACAGAGGCAGGGGTACGTCTCAGCTCCCTACACGCACCCCCACCCCCACCCTGACCAGAGCCTGCGGCCCGGCAGGTGCGCAGTCAGGATTTGGCGAACAAATGATGCGGTCTGCTGGGACTGGCACTGAGAGTGGGAGGGGCCCGGGTAGCCCCAGGCCCAGCCCCATCCGTCGGGAAGTCAGAGCTGACCCAGGGAGGGGGCCGGCCAGACCCTGGGGACCCGGGAACTGGTATGAGAGGCTCTTCCTCTTCCAGGGGCTGGGCGGGGGGGGCTTTGAGGGATGGGGCGGAGCCACCTTTCCCTCCAGAATATTCTGCGTTGCTGAGCCAGGCAGCACTCACCTGGGCCTCAATTCCACTCCCTGCCCCAGCAAGGGCCCAGCCATTCTCGCAGCACCCGGCACCTTCTCTTGGGCTCCAGGCCCCTGTGGCCTGTGCAGCCCTATTGCTGCATCTGGACCAGCTGAGAGCTGGCGCTGGGGGCCCACTCAGCGGGCACGAGAGAACTGGGCGGCCGGCTGGGCTCCAGGCTCAGAGAGCTCCGGCTCAGACCCCAGCCTCACCACAGACCTGCTGGGCGACCCGAGCCGGTTACGCCGCTCCTCGATCGGCCACATAGACCATCCTGCTTGTGTTCATGGGGTTCCCAGCTCCACAAACACCGGCCGGCTCCTGCTGAGCGCCAGGCGCTGTGCGTGGCCCGGGGCTCTGTGCAGCGTGGCTTCATGGCTCGGTGGTTCCCAGCTGTTGGGCTTACGCTCGGTCCCGACGGCTGCCCCTCTGTCCTGGGCTCCAGGCTGTGGGCTCTCTGACCCTCGGAGTCGTCATCTATCTGCCCCGACATTGCTGGACTGGCCCCGTTTCTGTCACCCTGGGTGCTGGTGCCCCCGAGAACGGCCCAGTGCTCTGTGCTCACCGGCAAGGCCCCTGTGGGTCCGCCCACTGCTGTGTCCCCGAGACCCTGCCCTGCCGCACCCTGAGCTGCCTCAGGCCTGGAGCGAAGGTGCAGGAAAGGGCTCCAGTTCCCCCGATTTTCTGCGGTTTCAGCATCCCCACCGCACCGTCACAGGGGACTCGGCTGGGGACAGCAGTGGGCTGGCCCTCGCTCCGTTAGAGGCAGGCTTGGGGGTGGCAGCCAGGTGCGTCTCCCGCGGGTGTCCCTGCAGAGCGTGGGGGTGGGCGGGGCCGGCCCTGTGAATCGCTCCATCTCCCGTTCCCGGGCCCGGAGCTCCCAACACTCACCCGGGCCGAGGCCAGATGCGGACAGTGTTGCAGGTGGCGGGAAGTCTAGGGGACCCCACGGTGGTTAGTGCCTCGTGGGTATCAGCCCCCACACAGAACTGCTCTGATGTGGCCAGAGAGACGGAGACTAAGAGGGGCAGGAGGGTCTAGGATGCCCCACCAAGGGGCTCGCCCGACCCTGGTCCTTCAGGCCTGGGGAGCCGAGGGCTCTGGCTGTATGGACGCTGGGTGGGTGTGGGGAGAAGGTACGGACCACACCATATTTTGTCATCCAGGGAGTGGCAGCGTGGCCCCCCAGGCAGGGGCTGGTCAGCAGGAGGGGGGCCAGGCCCAGGCTGCCCAGAGAACGAGGAGTCTGGCGCATAGTAGGTGCTCAGCAAGGGGGGGATGCCTGATGGCTTGCTAGGTGTCAGGTGCAGTGCCAGGTGCCCTCATGGCCCGTGATGTCGTCTCCAGCCACATGCCAGGTGAGGGCGGAGGGCAGCTGCCTCACCCTCTGGCCCATCACCCTCTGGCTCGTCACCCTCTGGCCCGTCACGTGCTATGTGGCTCTGGGTTACTGGGAGGAGCCAATGAAAGAGTCAGAGACAGAAAGACTGGTAAGGGTCGGGGTAGCACGATTTTAAGCATCTCCGAATCCCACGTTACAAAAAGAACAAGGGGGGGCAGAACCGAAGAACGGCCTTTATGACAAGACTCAGCTAACAATGTCCCCGCGAACCCCAAAATAGATACATGTAGTTACAGCCTTCCCCTGATGTCGCCGTGCCCATGGAAGGCAAAAAGTAGTCTGATTACTGGGGCGCCTGAGTGGCTTAGTTGGTTAAGCGTCTGACTTTCGCTTAGGTCATGATTTCGNAAGGGGCGCCTGGGTGGCTTAGTCGGTTAAGCGTCCGACTTTCGCTTAGGTCATGATCTCGCGGTTCGTGGGTTCGAGCCCCGCGTCGGGCTCTGTGCTGACTGCCAGCTCAGAGCCTGGAGCCTATTTCAGAGTCTGTATCTCCCTCTCTCTCTGACCCTCCCCTGCTCATGCTGTCTCTCTCTCTCTCTCCTAGAAATAAATAAAACATAAAAAAAAATTTAAAATCTGAAAGAAACAAAGATGCAGGTAAAAAGCGCTCCAGAGAACTGGAGAAGGCTAGACCTCGCCTGCCCAAGGTCGACTGGCAAAGAAGACCCAACATGTGAGTAACAGGCGCCCTGCAAGAAAGGGCTCCAGAGAGCACATCATGTATTTGAAAATATATTTTTAAATGTTTATTTATTAGAGAAAGAGAGCACGAGCAGGGGAGGGGCAGAGAGAGAGAATCCCAAGCAGGCTCCGTGCTTTCAGTGCAGAGCCCGGCGTAGGGGCTCCAACTCGCAAACGGAGAGGTCATGCCCTGAGCTGGAATCGAGTCAGATGGTTAACTGACCGAACCATCCTGGCGCCCCTTGAGAATACTGACCCAGAATAACCAATACCAAGACGCATTCTAGTAAAATCATCAGTCTTCGAAGAAAAGGAGAAACTCCTCCAGGGATTTAGGTAAAGAGAGCAAGGGACTCATAGGAATAAGGATTCGATTGTCTAGACTCCGCCGTGGCGACGCGCTCTGCAGAAGGAAAGTGGGGACTCCACAAAGCAGGGGTGACGGATGGTCAGCAGGAGAGGCGGGCGCAGCCAGGCAGAGTCATGAAGGAAGGTCAGCTCTGGAACCCAGGCCGAGCAAGGGAAGCCGATGACCGGGAACCGTGGGTTCACATCGGCGCCGCCACAACACTGGTACTGTGACCCCAGGGCGGTCGAGAGTGGGGTGAGGGGTGGAGCAAATGAGTGATTACAAGAGACTGTGATTTTATTATCATCTGGATCCTTCCAGCCTGGATTCTGGGTGTGGAAGAAAAGGGGTAGCAGGTGTAAGACAGAAGACTCTCAAGTCAAAATACCATAGGCTTGGGTTCGAGATCAGAAGCATCAGTTTGAACTCATGGAGCGCTTCATAGTTAAGAAACACTGGTATAGTGGGGGCGCCTGGGGGGCTCAGCCGATTGAGCGTCTGACTTCAGCCCAGGTGATGATCTTGTGGTTCGTGGGTTCGATCTGGGCTGAGAGCTTGGAGCCTGGAGCCTGATTAGGATTCGGCGTCTCCCTTTCTCTTTGCCCTTCTCCCACTCGTGCTCTGTCTCTCTTTCAAAAATAAACATTAAAAAAAATTTAGAGGTGCCTGGGTGGCTCAGTCAATTAAGCGTCGGACTTTGGCTCAAATTATGATCTCACAGTTCGTGGGTTCGAGCCCTGCGCTGGGCTCTGTGCTGACAGCTCAGACCCTGGAGCCTGCTTCGGATTCAGGGTCTCCCTCTCTCTCTGCCCCTCCCCTGCTCACGCTTTCTCTCTCTCAAAAATAAACATTAAAAATTTTTTTCAAATACTGGTATATTTCCTAGCTCTGTCCACCAAAAAAACCTAAAAAAAAAAAAAAAAAAAAAGACTGACCCAGTAGAAACGAGCATCCCTGGAATCCACAGTGTGGTCTTGAAATGCAATTTCCTACAAACATAAACCAGGCTTTTTGGAGGAAATGGCTGATCCCAGGTCCGGGGCAGGAAACGCTCAGATAAGCCTGGACCACCCTGACCCACCGGAGAGTGAGAAAGCTGTCACAGGCCAGTGTTGTGTCAAAAGGTCTCTGTGTCCAACTCGCAGGGGTGTGCACCGGCCGAAGGTGGGTAAGTCCGGCCTGAACAAGGACACGGCTGCTCCTGAGTGGAACTTCTAACCACGTCCACATCCGTGGTTCATCACGATTAAACAAACCCCCGACTGGTCACCTGTGGAGGGCGAGATTCAGGCCAATTCACTCTTTCCAAACTGCAACTGAAAGGCTTAATTATTTCAAAAGGGCGCAATTAAACTGCCTTGTCAGAGGCGCCTGTGTGGCTCCGTCGGTTAAGCATCCGACTCTTAATCTCGGCTCAGGGCATGGTCTCACGGTTCGTGAGTTCGAGCCCTGTGTTGAGCTCTGCCCTGGCAGCGTGGAGCCTGCTTGAGATTCTCTCTCTCTCTGCTCCTCCCCTGCTCACGCTCTCTCTCACTCTCTCAAAATAAATAAATAAACTTTAAAAGAAAACTATCTTGTCTAGAGATGGCTAGTGGGAGATGAAACTATAAAACAGACCCCACAGTGAAGACATTTCTATGAAGGACAGTGGTTGCTTAAGGGCAGGTAGGGCCGTGACTGTCATGAGCCACGCTGAGTGGCTCCGGGGGGACAAAGTTTTCTTTCTTGGCCTGGAGGATAGTTAAAGGGGGTTCAGTTTATGACACTTGGCTAAGCTGAACATACGTTATGTGAGTTTCTCTGTGGATGTGTTTTATCTTACAATACAAAGGTGGACAAATAAAAGATCATTTCTAAGATGGTAGACCCCGTTCCCCTTTGGGAAAGGTTTGTTGCTATTGCTACTACCGAGAGCACTGGAAAACCTGATTGAAGGCCAATAGGAATAATTGAGGACAGCAGACCAAGGAAGGCTTCCTGGAGGAGGTGAGATTTGGAGAGGGGATAGGATTTGGCTTAGACCAGGGCTTCTCAACGCTGACACTACTGAAATTTGGGCTGGAGGACCTTTATTGTCGGGACTGGCCTGTACATTGCAGGACGACCTGGGCGGCACCCCCACTGCCTTCCCCAGTTGTAACATCAAAAATGTTTCCAGAAATTACCAAACGTCCATGGGGACAAAACTTCCCCAGCTGAGAACCACCGGTTTAGAGAACCATAAGCAAAATAGAAATGAATAAAAACCCAGAACTTCTCTACCTGTAGGTACCCCTCTCGTTTCTTTGCATTTTGGGCCTGTGAGAGACCAGAGTGGCCTCTCTGACCCTGGCCGCCACACCTCACGGCCTCAGAGCCCCGAGAGCAGGCCCCTTGTTTCACTGGTGGGGAAACTGAGGCATCCCAGGGGGACAGAGCCAGACCAGAACTCAGATGTCCCGATTCCTGCAGAAGAGGAAGCTCCTGAGTCATCGTTCTGCCCCCACCGCATCCTACAAATGTCCTGTGGTCAGTCATTTTTGGGCAACCCCGTCGTGCTTAGCCCTGGGCCCAGACTGCTCTCCACACCACCTCACTGATTCCCAGGTTCCTTGCAGAGGCGGGGGACTGGAGAGCGGGTGACACGGCTGCTCTGTGTCCTGGGGCTCCAGGGACAGATTGCGAACTCGAGGCCGGACGTGAAGTGTGCGGTGAGGTGCCAGCTGGCCGCGGAGGCTGCGGCTACGGTGGTGACCCCGTCGCTATCATGGACTCGTTCAGGGGACACAGAGATGCGTCCAGACCAGGGAGAACTGTGCTCTCTTGACTCCAAATTCCCGGACTCCCCAGGGGCCGCCACGGCAGGGGTGGGGGGCGTGGGGGGGGGTCACTCTGGACTCACCACCCTCATTCTGCTGCGATTTGCCTAAGATTTCACCTGAAGCAGAGAATTCTCCTGATGAAAAAGTAGATTCTTGGGGCGCCTGGTGGCTCCGTCTGTTGAGCGTCCAACTTCAGCTCAGGTCATGATCTTGCGGTTCGTGGGTTTGAGCCCGAGTCGGGCTCTGTGCTGACAGCTCGGAGCCTGCTTGGGATCCTTTCTCTCTCCCTCTCTCTGCCCCTCCCCCACTCACTCTGGCTCTGTTCCTTGCTCACGCTGTCTCTCTCTCTCTCTCTCAGAAATAAATAAATAAACTTTTAAAAAAAGATAAATTTTTTTAAATAATAAAAATGGAAAATAAAAAACAAGTTCTCCAACCACGAGTCTGTACCGTCTATGGTAAAAGACCAAAATGAATGCTAGAGGCCAGACGAAGCCTGTGCTGTCCTGAGGTGTGAGGAGGCTCCCGTCCCGGTGGTGGCAGACCAGCCCCCAGGACTCGCCAGCACGCTGCTCTGCTCCAAGACTCCGGGGCCCCGTGCTTGGACACTTGTCCCTGCACCTCAGCACCCCGGGCCTCACCTGGGGCCTCAGCTGGGGGGCTCCCGGGTCAGCAGCTGGGGGCTGAAGGCACCTGCGGCCTCTTTGCGCACAGGCCGGGGCCACTGCCGGCCGGGGCTCAGCTCAGCCTGCCCACAGGGGCCCCGTTTCCTCGCCGCATGGTGCCCACGTCTCAGGGGGCAGGTGCCGAGGGGGAGCATCTGGAGGGCAGCCCCACGCGGGCACCAGATGGAAAGTACACGGGCTGGGGGGCCATGGAGCGTGGCCTCTGCTGTACATGCACCAAACAGACTCATGGGGACAGGACACAGACCCCTGCTCCCGGGGGGGGGGGGCGGCGGGGGATGAGTGCCAAAGCTTTTGCAGAGTCATGTTTTAAAACCACCACGACGGGGGCGCCTG